AAAAAAAAAGAAAATTAAAATCCTACAAAAGAATTTTATTAATCTTTTCAATCTCTTAGAGTTTAGAAAAATGCAAAATGTAATAAATTCTAAAAGGTTTGATGAAGAATCTAGATACAATTTATTATTCTATATTTATCTTTAATAATGTACTGAGGAAGTATCCGAATCTTTTTTTAAAAGAGTCTAAAGGCAACAATAACTTGGTTTAAATCTATTATCTAATATTAATTTAAACAACAGAAGACAGAAGATATAAATAACTTGACCTTAAGTTCTTCATTAGATCTGTAATAAAGATCAGCATTTAATAGCTTACTATCTATTCGCCAATAGGACAGTTGGCGTTAGTATAATATATTCTCGCCAACTGTAATAACATAAGATTAATATAGAATACATGTGAATAATTAATCTAATATTATTAGGATAAGTATACCATAAGTTAAACTCGTCAATATAGTTACTAGGAGCTATTTTTACACATGTATAATCACATAATGATACAGACAAAAATCTGGAATTCCATTTAATATCGAATATATTTTATCAATGAGTTTTATACTACGCTCTTACAAGATAATTTTGAATAGTGGTTAATAATATTGTATGCAATCTATTTTCAATTCTCAACGCTGACGTATAAAGATCATACTTTATCTTTAGATATGTATTAAACACTTATAGAATGATTTTATTACTACTTTCTAAGCAAATATACGACAAATCATCTAGTTAACGTATGTAAAAAGAAGAGATTATTTTGACATTTTAAGACATTAGTATTTAAAATGGCTTAGTAAGAAGATTGGAGATAATATACATTTCGAAAATTATTGACGTCATATTACTCTACTATAGAAAACTAATTAATTCTATCCTGATTAGCATCTAGTGGGGTGTTTGAATATTCTTTTTATTTAATTTCATATTAGGAATCAACTATTAGAAGAAGAATTAGATCGTGTTCGACGAAGTCAATATTCTGAAAATATTTCCATTCGACGGTAAATTAAATCAATAATCTTCATTAAGACAATACATATCTTACTGTTTAGAATCGAAACGAATACTCTTGATTCATCGTTAAATGACTCATCGAAATATATTGAAGAATTAAAATCCAGAGTAAGAAAAAAAGCTAATTTCTATAAAATAAAAAATTCAATTTAGATTGATGAATTTGAACACAGTTTTATCGAAGAAAAAACCAGTAAAGAATCATTGCAAGTTCAAATAAAGATTCTCGAAGAAGAAAATGCTGATCTTAGAGATATTATGACTCAAATGAGAAAACGAGCACAAGATGGTCGAAAGTAATTATCATATAATTTATAA